AGAAACAGAAAATACTACCCTGTAAACAGAACCGAACCCTCCTGTTCCAAGTTTGTTGGAATCACTGAAGCTATTCGTGGCTACGGATATTGTTTCGAAACTAAGCAAAGGCAATTCCAGATTGTCCAGTATCATATCTCCATTAGATGTCTCAACCACTGTTTCTCTAGCTCTTGCTTGGTTTTTTTTCGATCTCCAACAGCAAAATATGGCACAAAAAATGACTATACATCCGATGATTCCGGCGGTCAAAGGTGGGATCGGGTTGGTTTTGGGTTTGTCGTTCTCTGAGAGAGAAACAAAAAAATGAAAGAATATACTATTATATCACTGTCTCCTGGACCTACTGATTTAGATTGTATTAACAAAAAAAAAAAAAAATCTCCTATCTATCTTCTAAATTTACATTACTACTTCACTTGATAATTTGAATACTAGAAAACTGAAGAGAGTTGTCTGTACCGCGAATTCGAAAATAAAGCACTTGACCACCGCTGCCGTGTCTTTCAAAATCCAAGAGTTCTCCAGTCCAGATCACACAACTATAACTGTTAAACATCGCAAAAGTTGTGCAGTTGCAATCCGTTACACACCTTTGCTGACATTCTTCATAATCCATTCCTGAGTCCACAGTGGCGTTGATTGTATCAGGCAATTTGATTTCTGTGAGCCGGACAAATTTGTCGTTCCTACAGGTCAGTTCAGTCAACCTCTTGCCTTTGATTTATCGCCTTTGATTCACAACATTCTGCATTGCTATCCGCTTTGAGGATCCCAAACGAATACTCCCCGATAGATGGATCACTTACACTTTTCCAAGATTTAAGCAAAATGTTACCCTTTCTTCTCCTCCCCCAACCGAGTTTCATTTGTGGGAGTAAAATATCTGTAGGATAATCGAAGCTCTCCCACTGAAATCCATTGTCGTGTCTGTGATTGAAACGTCCCAGCACGAAATTCCCATCATCGAGCAGCTGTGCCACTAGTGAAGATACCCCGCTTTCTTTTGTCAGGTTTGTTGACCAAACAGAGGTATTGGATTGGTCGAAGAGGACGAGGTTTGAATTAGAAATTCGGAGGGTTCCGAGAGGTTTGGTGAGAGGATTGTCTCTGTTTGCAACCCAAACATAGAGTCTATTAGGCATATTTCTGAACCAAATCCCGAGATACCAACGCCGGGAACTTGTATCAGGTTTGAAGAAACCAAGCTCGAAGACACCATTAGGAGACACAATGGTTCGGTTGCTAGAGACGGTTAAGGATTCTGTCCATGACAGAGAGTTATCTTGAAGATAGCTCAAGGAAGTGGAGAAAAGAGAAAAGAAAAGGAACATGTAACAACAACAACGACGAAAACTTTCTCTCATTTTTTTGTGTTTTCTCTCTGTTCATTTGAATCTTTTTGATTCAAATTGTTCATAACAATCAGGAATATAGTTTTTTTTTTTTCTTAAAAAAATCAGGAATATAGTTGCCGATCGAAAAAAAAAAACAAAATGCTAAATTGTACATGACTTTTTGTCACTTGATTCTAACAAAAAGTCCACTGACGCTACCAAAAACATTAATTAATACCCATAACCCCATAGATTCAAGATTATCTACCTAAAAAACATTAATTAGAACCTGCGCGTCTTATCCTTGTAAAATGTGGTTTCGGTTTCAATTTTAATATATATTTCAAATGACTGAAAAAAATAAT